GCATCGATCCACGCAATTGGGATCGATGACCGTGCATCAACCAAGTCAACGAGCCTGACCACCCGATCCCGTTAGTCAACACATTTATGCAATATTCTGGCAATATTCCAGCTATACGTCTTTGAAACCGCCACTTACCAAGAAAGAGTACAACTCAAGCCGAGACACTGCCATGTTTAATTGCAATTGAAAAATATGTCACCCATTGTTTCACGACGTTATATATCTGTCTGATACTCCGCTAACTGCACACAATGATACAATGTTCCCACAGCTCTGTATGTCCAGAAACAGTATTTAGCTCTGCTGTGGCATGTTTCGGTTTTGCAAGGTGTGTTACCGAGAGTCAGTTGATATTGACAACAACATCATATGGTGATGTGCGCCGCCGTGAGGATGGCGTCAACACTGATGAAGACGTCTTCTCGGATCTCATTCGGGTATCTGTCTGTGAAGTTGTTTATGCTTGATCCGTCTACAGCTAGCTGCAAGGAATCAAATGGAGCGTCTTAGATTATCCAGTGTATTGTGTTTCCATTTTGTTCTATTGGAACCACAGCTTCTATTGGAGATGCTAACAGCTGTCTAACCACATTTCCCTCTTTATCAATAGAAATGCTATGCAATGTTTCTGATAGGAGACATGGATATGGTGACGACAAGTACGACACAAGGCTAACATGGCGAAATGGTGCAAGGGAATTCATCATAGTTGTAATGGAGGATTTAACGTAAACAGAAAGAAAAAAGTTGCATCTTGATTTTACAATGAAAAGTTACATTCTTTTGATTGAGGTGGCTAAATTAATATCCATTTAAAGTTAAGGACAAATGTATTGATTGACAAATATTTTATTCCCAAAGAATGACATATATATTAAAATTTATTTATTATTTAAGTAATTCATTTTTGAAAATAGTAAGTCTTTTATTTTCAATTCCTAAATATGGCAGAAACATCACAAAATATATCATTGAAAATTGTTACATCCAATGACAAGCGGAATCCTAAAATGTCCTGACTGATTTGTATTCTTTCTTTGTCAACCCTTGAAAGTTGCATAAACCCCGGTACAGTGAGGGTGACATGCCCTGACATGACACATCCAAGAGGCCCTAAACCTACTTTGCTCACTCCTATGGGAAACGATACCAAATAAAAGAAAACTGCCACTCAACAGGACAATGATTTACTACACTGATAGGACCGTTACAATTAAGGGTGCGATGTACTTTTTTTATTTCCGCCTATCACGGCCGGTAGCACCTACAAATCTGCTGGACACTTTGGATGTTATAGAGTGAGTAATTGCCTTCACTGCTTCAGAAACATTTATGTCTTATTTAACTGTTGATCAGATGCCAACCCAGATGCAGTAATTACTACTAGGTTTGTGATCGTGAGAAAGCTCAAGAAGAGGACATGCGAAGAAACAACAACGTACCATGTAAATGCCTTGGTCCAGTCGTATCTCCACCAGAGACTCGAAACCCACTGCCAATGGGACCGGCGATAGATCAATCTGTGTTCCCCACACTCCGGAGAAACGTGAGTTGAATACCAGCTTCTTTTGATCCAGTCGGAAGCCAATATGATACAGAATATTTCCTCCTCCGCGAACATCAATATGTACTCTAAAAAATCGGCAACGAATTGTTGATGTAAACTTTGAAAGATGTTTCCAGATTGAATAAAAAACAGGCGCGAATTTTGGAAAAGACGATGATGGTCCTGTAGTGTCTTTTTTTATCTGGAATGCTCATTCGAAGCTTGCTTTCAATGAAAAAAAATATATGCATTTGGAACAAGGTGATTCAGTTCCTGAACAGATTGGAAGAAAGACTTATCGTTTGTATTTATAACCAATCAAATTGTGAACACTGACAGACTTTCCGACAAATCGATCTGTATATTCCATCAGTGGCCACTGTGAAAAAATGCCCCGTTAGAATGCTAGTGGCCCAATATTAGATGATTCGATACCGGTCTAAACTTCTTCATATGCATGAACGACCACTCCCTAAAGTAGCTTATAATATGCTTTTATATTCAGATAACATGTGATAACTTGTACATCGCATGGTTTTGGTTTTATATATGTCAGGTTTGTCTATAAAAAGGTGGGCAGACGTTCATCAGGCACCCATAGCCATCATGACTGGCAAACAGAGACACCGTACCGTTTGGACAAGGCAGAGACGTCTTGATCCCTATGGTTAAGAAGCGCTAACCATATTTACCGTTTGACATTGAACCTATACTACTTGGAAACTGTACCACCAGACTGCCTGCCCCCAGAGTTACCACCTTTTTGAGATGGTGATCGAGGACTTCTATCAACAGATGTCAGGCCAGAAGGGGGATCGCATTGGTCTGGGTATCCGACACCCTGCTTTCGACACAACCATACGGATTCCAATTTGCTGCTTTGAAGATCTCTACGGCCAAGATATCTTGCCTGCCGTGGAAAAAGTCCAACAGTCTAACCAAGACCTTGCCATCGATGCCACCATGGGTGTGACCTTAGTACACGTAGCAGATCCCGATGGCCTAAGATGAGGCAGTGGCCGACGTCTGACTAACATGCAAATAGTGCCTTGTACGGATCATGAATGAAGATCAATCCCGTTTGGGAAAGGCCATTGTGGTGGCACAGCATTATGCCCAGAAGCCCAACCCTCCGACCAATGAATGGTCAAGGCTGAGAAAGAGACTGACGAGAACGGATCGAGCCGACGTTCAAGGCAAATGGGCACAGGGATTGTTTCACCTCCTTGGCATTCCTGAAGGCCCCTTTCAGGGCCTGGACAACCCTAGAACGCATGGGACGTGCCTTGGCCCAAATCAACTATCAACTGAAAAGTCTACAGTAAATAGTGTTTAATAGTCTGTTTTACAAGTGTGAAGAGGCACCACCCGACGCCACCCTGCTGCATTTACACCATCATCATGACCACTACGATGTGATCACTTCCATGGCAGCCTTTTATTAGTCTAAGCATTAATGCGAACTCTGCGACCACAGGTACGTATGATCATCCCAAAAAACATCCCTGCTGCAAGCAATACCGCTGCCACCACTCCTTCCCTTCCACCCAAGAAAAACCTAGGGATGTCTTTCTTGGCATGTTAATGATGGTTCCGACATTTCGAGTCACAGTCAGAGGGAGAACCCATCGCCTGTCAATCGATTCACAGGTGCCTGATCTGTTTTCAGCTTGTCCGCGTCTTGGAGACACCCATGGCCCATCACAAGTGCTCAGGTGAGCGAGCTCCATGCTTAGTGTGTTGCGATGCCATGGAGGTGGACACGCCCATCCCGATTGAGGAGGAGGAGGAGACAAAGGAGATGAAGCCGCCTGAGAATGATGACGTCATTTATGCTCATAACGTGCGGGAGTAAGATCTACACTTGATCCTGAAGGGCATGCTTCCACATCTGGTGAAAGAATGGGGGGAAAAGACGTTCACGTGCGGAGAGGGTAAACATCGTTACAGTGTCTATGGCTTCGAACCAGCGACAGTTAACATCTATGCATTCATGGGCTGTTTCTGGCATGGGTCCCGGTCCTTTTACAAGACCAAACGTCGGGGGCTAAAGTGACACGCTGTTAATCAAGTCACCGTGCCTGACCACTCGAACCGTTGCGCCACAAGCATTTGTGGCTGGGGACCAACTCTAATCTGGAATTCCCACGGGGCCAAATACACATTCAATACATGTAACAACATTCTCTGAGCGCTCACGCCTGTTCTTTTCGTTCACCATAATTATGAATGCGAATATCTATTCTTTACCGATTAGCGGCCGTTGGAGTGATGTTCATTGCCGCTTTGAAACGCCTTGAATTCCCACAAGGCACGACCAAGGGGAAGTTCATCACCTGTGTAAACAAAAAAAGTATGAAATACTTTTCACAAACTCGACAATTTCTGTATCATTTTGTCAACAGTTTGCGTAGGACTCGCAAACATCCACGTTATAAATAAAGTTTCATGATAAGTCGGAAATTAAACAAACATAATTCAGACAATTAAACATGTTTGAAGGCAACATACAGGAACTCAGGTATTTTATGTTTAATTTCCCCCTTTGATTTTATAACCTCTTTCGGGATATTTTTGACATCAAACAATCCACCTTAATTTGCGGACTATTAAAAAAACTTGTATGGCAAGGACGTATTAATTGTACAATAACTATCTCTGTCTAGGCAAGATCCGAATAATTGCATGCAGTTATATGCTGTTTACAGTTGTGCAAAAATCTGTAATGCCAAAGCAAATGAATGCCGCTTATCAGATGTGCTTCATTGTACGAATGTCTTTGTTGTTGCGTCACTATATGGCTGAAATAATGACCTTAAATTTTAACTCACTTACTTTGTTGCTGATACCTGCCTTTGGGCAATGAACATCGAATCGAATTCCCATTACACATTTATTACCACATACTGTTCCTTCCCTCTCTTACACAGCTACAAGAATCGTCTTATGAGTAATATTTCACACAAGGGCAGACGGAACCGGAACAAGTTCCAAGGACCAATCAAGCCCAAGATCTGCTACTTCTTCCATTGCTTGCCTGTCATTGTTGTTTCTTTATACATTTCTTAAAGCAGTCTTATTTAGTCGATATTCTTCCATCTTGTCACAATCCTTATTACACCTGGAGAGAAGGGAAGGTCGGTGTTCGATCCCCGACCGCGTCATACCAAAATACGTTAAAAGTTGGTACTTGTTGTTGCCCTGCCTAGCGTGGTGCATTATGGACCTAAAACAAGGACTGGTCGGCTTAGAGTCTCTGTCTGAGTGGGATATTGATGTTAAACTGTGGCATGTGAGCATATGGAATCAGCATATCAGCACACACACACACACACACGAACGTCGTTGTAAAAGTTTAATAATCTTGAACGCCGTAACACCCCATTTCGTATCACCTTACCTTGAAGATACATTCATACTCAACGTTCATTTTACCACATAACAGTCCTACCGGGTTGTCCCAACTGTACTGTGCGCACAGGCCGACAGAACCGTTCCAATTTCCTGTCAACTGGCAAACTCTGCTGTGTCTAGCAGTGCACATCATGAAGTTGTTCTTGCAAGTGTACACTGCAACTGCTCCTTCGTACACTCCGTCATAATGCACCTCAGCATTGGCAACAGCAGGTGGTGCCTCACAGCCTTGAAACTCTGTAACATTAAATAACAGCAAAAGCGATATAGATTTTACTTAACAAATCGGTCATTATCAGGGTCTTAGATTTTAACCCACCAATAACATCAGATAAATGTGGTGGCTACTGACATATACTGAACGGCAAAAGAAACGTCACGCCAAATAACATTGCATGAAAAGTTGTCATTTACACATTTGGGTAATTTTGGCCAAAGTTTCTAAAATTTAACATTACCTTGTCGGAAAAATTAAATTTGATGATAAAAAAACAAAGCAGATGACAATAAAACCGATCGCCCAAACGCATCACGGCAACGGCCATGGTAACCTGATGCATGTTAGTGCCGTGCAAATTAAAATGCACATGCGTTCCACCATTTCTTGCCCTATAGAAATCAACCCAGATTGGATAATATTCATTCGTTATTGAATTGCTACCACATACCAAGATTGACAAGAAATCAGTGACATAAAGCCCTTGGACGATTGCAAACTGAATTTCAAGCCCACGTAAGGACCACATACAGGCTCCAGCAACGGTACCAGACCACCAACACAACAGATGACCAACCACGTAGTGGAAGACCAAGGGTCACCACCTGATGTCAGGATCGTCAGATTGTGTGACAGCATCTTCAAGATCGCTTTCAGTTACTGCTGCGGAAACTTCTCGACAGACCATAGGGACACACCAGAGACGCATTGGTGTGGACAACATGCGTCGACGATTGACGAGCAGACACCTCCACTGTCATAGGCCACACAGAGGACCAGTTCTGACTACACGTCATCGTATGGACCGTCTTCAGTGGGCAACACAGCACTAGCATTGGCGCCATCAGCAGTTGATGGCAGAGAGAGAGAGAGTGGGGAACGTTATTTGGATGCTTGTGTTGTTGAGATAGACTCGTGGCGTGGTCCAAGCATCATGAAATAGGGTGGAATTGATCTTGCACAGAGGGTCGGCCCTGTTGTCGTCCAGAACATCTGTCCAGGAGAGGCAATGGTGTCACAGCAGTTCGGCTCATTGATCAATGAGAAACATGCAGTGGCCTGCCCTCAGTCCCGATTTAAATCCTATTGAGTGAGTGAGTGGGTTGGGTTTAACGCCGCTTTTAACAGTATTCCAGTAATATCGCGGCTTGGAGGAAAGCCCGAAGTGATGCAGGTGTCAGACGTTTACCACTTCAGTGAAACCCACAAGCACGGGTATGGTGCTGGCAAACCTAGAAACATAATCTGGGCGAACCGGGGTTCGAACCCACAATCATAGGTTTCTGGCGTGCCAAAGGGATGCAACTCTGCAAATCCCATTGAGCACCTGTGGGGCGAGATTCAAAGACGGCTGAAAGACGTCCGACCAAGGCCGACAACAGCAGCTGAACTGCGTCAGACGTTTCTCAGAAACACTGACTTGTGATGCTATTTTCTCCGAGACCAGTTTTGGTTTCACTTTAATAACATTTGACACTTTAATTTCAACCTTGGTGATGAGTTTGGTCAAGTCTCAAAGTATGTTTAGTGTGTTTGGACAAATCAGGTTTATCATGTATCTATCCATGGTGACGTTTCTTTTGCGGTTCAGTATATTTTAGAGGTCACTGTCAGTAAAGAATCATTAATACTTGGATGAAACTCGGTTTCTTTACACGGGTATGGTTCTTGCAGGAGGTTACATTGCTTTCAACATGATCAAGGTTTTTTGTTCTGATGATGTGAACCGAAATAGGGTTCAACGTCTCGCCCTTGCGTGCGTGAGTTGCTGCTTGTTCTAGCCAGGAGTTATGCCGTGCCACAGTTTAACAAGGATACTCCACTGAGACCAGTCCTTGCTTTACCCTCTTTTATGTCCTTTCGTATGACGTGGCCCGGGATCGAACACCAACCTGTCCGGCCAGACACACTTTCTCATTGTGCTTCCTCATGCTAGTCTTAGCCAAATGATTCCAATGAGTGATAACGTAAAATAGTGTCAATGTTCTGTTACAGTCAATAGCTTACCTGTCTCACATGATGCCCGACCCAGTCGATCTAGATAACATCTGGACATTGGACAAGGTTTCCCCGAGCAGGCGCCAGCGAGTGACTGTGTAAAACAATACATGCATATGGCGTTACGTGTGCTTCCAAATCCCAAAACGACTCAGCTGGACGTTCAGCCAGCCGAAATGGGAAATTTCAAAACCAGTATTTCCTCCAGCTGTTTTGATATAGATGAAATGTGACTGTTAACATCCAATCGCCTCACAGGGCAGCTTGCATTGTATAATCCCCAAGGAGATGAGAATGTAAAGTGAGTGCCCACAGGTCAAATTATTGTTGGCGCTTTGAGCATGCACCGAATGTATGGAGGCCAGCGCAGTATAACTAGCCACATTATGATAATGATTATGATAATGATGTCCAGATTAAAATACAAAATGCAGCAAATAGGGTTTGGCACAGTCAGGCTCTTACATGCGGTCTAGTGGAACCCGGAGTGAACTTTTCGGAGAATGTGAAGGTTCCCTAACACTGGAGTCTCCTGCATTACCCAGATTGTCAGAAGGGCTGTATTCGTGGCAGCAAACCTGGACAGTCTAGGATTTTCTGCTGGATCATGTTTAAGACTGACATTTTTTTTTATCTATATGCGACTTGTAATCTTTGGTTTTGGTTTGGTTTGATGTTTAACGCAACACTCAGCAATATTTCAGCTATATGACGGCGGTCTGTAAATAATCGAATCTGGATCAGACAATCCAGTGATTAATATCATGATCATCGATCCACGCAATTGGGATAGATGACATGCGTCAACCAATTCAGCGAGTCTGACCACCTGATCCTGTTAGTCGGGTTTTACGACAAGCATTGTCACCTTTGACGGCAAGCATGGGTTTCTGAAGACCTTAAAACTGTATATATAGAAAATAACTGAAGAGAATATTCTATGACCAGAAACCAGAATTTTTTTATTTTATGAAATAGGTAGTGTTAGTTAGTGATATATTAGTTATTAAATGGTACTATACTGTTTGATAATGTATCTGTAAAACTTTGGAATGGCTTTGTACTTGTATGTATTTTACTATACTGTTTTATAATTCATCTGTAAAACTTTGGAATGTCTTTGTACGTGTATGTATTTATCTATGACACTTCTTTGAATACAACTTTAGTTTTGCTAAGAATATTTATTAAGCTCTTCTGTACAATGTAATTTAAATAGGGTAGAGATATGTTAATACATATACAGGATTGAACTGACAACACTATATCATCAACGGCATAGCCCAAGTACTTGTCAAATTTGTATCCCACAACACGAAAAATGACATGTACATGGCAAAACGCAAACTTAGGTCTAACCCTGACAAAATCGTCATCACTGAAGAGGCACTGGTGAAGAGCAACCTCCTCGTGGTGAGTGCTGGGTAGCGCTTATAGTTCTTCCCCCGTGTGGAACCGGGGTAGAATATTTCCACAGCACCCCATTGCTGGTCGTAAGAGGCGACCAAAGTGGGAAGCCCGTTTGCCGTGGGTTGCGTCCCTGTGTCGGCGGAGGACGGGAGTTGAGGGCACTGGTTCCTGGAACTGTGTTCCTTTGCCCAACACACTATTTCGACCCTTACTTCGCCTAGACGGGTGGTGAGATGGGCCCGGTCTTATCATTTGGTTGGTCATGCCAGACCCTGTTCGTAATATTGTATCTGCACACCTATGTTGCATTTTACTGTATATTTTGGTCTTGGCCGTACATAACTTGTGTGAATACTCAATTTTGAATTGAATAAATTGCCTAGAGTCTTACGCCAGTAGGCGGTGGCTCATGGGCCAATCTGGTGATGTTGAACTCCGAATAATGTATGTCTCCAATTTCTGGTCAAGGGACCAACCAGTCCGGCTTTAAATTGGTAGATAAATATAGCTATTAGTGTTGTCTTTGCTGGAGTATAACAACCCTGTATCCCTGGTGTTTGCATCCTGGAGACCCGATGCAATGTAACACTGTCCTTGTTGACACTCCATGGTGGGTGGGGAACAGAGTTGCTGAATAATTTTCTTTCACCATGGCGCTTACTGAATCTGGTTCAAAGCGTAGACACTTAGAATTAAGCTCATTTGGTGAGACTGTTACAAACTTTGATTCCTGGGCTCGATTCCTTGTGATCGAAGCAGCAGATTATTTACCCATCAAACTGAATCCCTTTGCCATTTCGAAAGCTTCAGAAGTATCGCTCCACAACTCCTTCAGTGCTTTAGACATGGATGCGACTCTATCGTCAGATAGTAGTTGTAGGAGTTCTTCTTCCTCACGTTCACGTGAGAGATCACCTGTTGAGCCACCTTGACTCAATCATCACATTTAATACAGTGGAACTGTAGAGGACTTAAGAATAATTATAATGATTTACAAATTTTAACCCAGGATTTCAAACCATCGGCGATATGTCTACAAGAAACATATTACAAAGACGCTGATAAATTTGATATAAGAGGTTATACCTCCTACAAAGTCTGTTCACCTCCAGGTGCAAAAGCCACTGGAGGTTCTTCAGTATTCATGAAACAAGGCGTCATCCACAGCCCCGTTCATCTTGCTACTCACCTTTAAGCTGTAGCTGTCCGTGTAACCTTACACATAGTTTTTACTATGTGTTCGCTCTATATTCCAACATCTTCTTCCCTTCGACAGTCTGAACTTGGACACAATCCACTCTGGGGTAGTGTTCAGACAAATCACAAGGGTAAACTTATGGAAGATTTCATTTCGAACAACGACTTGTGTATCCATAATGATGATTCCAACACATATCTACATCCCGGTACAGGTACCTACTCCGCTCTTGATTTATACCTCACTCACCCTGATTTATTAAACGAATTTGAATGGTCCGTCCGCGAAGACCTCTGTGGCAGTGATCATTTCCCAACCTTTTTAAAACCTGTCTTACCTTCAGATGTTCCTCCTTCAACAAGATGGAACTTCATTAAGGCCAACTGGCCTTTATTTGAAACCTGATCTATTTATTGACGCGACTGATCCTGTACAATTATTTTCGGATGAACTAAACAAAATAGCAGATGAATGTATTCCTAAGTCCTCTACATATCCACACACCCCTAAACCATGGTTCAATAATGACTGCAAACAAGGCAGGGAGGCACGGAAGAAAGCTGAACACTATTTCCGTCGCCATCCCATGGTCCATAATTTGAATAAATATAAAATCTTAAATGCTAAAGCCAGGCGTACGTTCAAACACAATAAACGCCAATCTTGGCAACAGTATGTTTCCAAAATAAACTCACGAACGCCCATGTCCAAGGTATGGAACATGATACAGAAAATTAAAGGTAAGGGTTCTAAATGTAGCGTCCACCATCTTAAGAATGGGGATGACCTTATAACTAATAAATCGGATATTGCAAATAAACTCCGTGAAACGTTAGCAAAACATTCTTCTTCCTCAAATTATGTCCCTCAATTCCAAAAAAACAACCAACACAGCAGGAAAAGAAAACTATAAATTTTAAATCAGATAATGGGGAAGATTATAATGAAGTATTTTTGATCCATGAACTTCATACAGCTCTTGGACAAGCTCATGACACTGCTACAGGAGCTGATAATGTACACTATCAACTCCTGAAGCACTTGCCAGAACCGTGTTTAGAAACCCTTTTGTTGATTTTTGATGATATATGGACATCAGGTAAGTTTCCTTCTTCCTGTCGTGATGCCATAGTGATACCCATACCGAAACCTGAACGGGATCACAGTGATCCCTCAAATTATAGACCAATTTCATTGACCAGTTGCGTTTGCAAAACCATGAAATGCATGGTCAACAATTGATTAAAATGGTACTTGGAATCAAATAATTTAATTACAAATATTCAGTGTGGCTTTCGAAAGAATCGAAGTACCGTTGACCATATAGTACGGTTAGGATCATTTGTGAAGAATGCAATCATTAATAATCAGCATGCAGTGTCTATCTTTTTCGATTTAGAAAGCATATGACACAACGTGGAAACACGGGATTTTAAAGGATTTACATGATTTTGGATTGAGAGGTCGTTTGCCTGAATTTATATCCAAGTTTTTAACTGGCAGACAATTTCAGGTCCGCGTGCGTTCTACCCTGTCTGGTCATTATCATCAGGATCAGGGTGTCCCACAAGGCAGTATTTTGTCTGTCACTTTATTTAGTATAAAAATAAATAGTCTTTCAAAGGTTTTAAGTGATGCAGTAGATGGATCTATTTTCGTGGATGATTTTAATGTTTCTTGTCGTGGAAATAATTTGCATACAATAGAGAGGCAGTTGCAAATCTGTCTCAATCAAATTCATAAATGGTCTCTAGATAAAGGGTTTAAATTTTCCGAATCAAAAACTAACTGTGTACATTTCTGCAGAAAAAATAAGCCGCACAAGGACCCTGAACTATTTTTAGATGGCACCCCTATCAAAGTTGTCAAAGAGGCCAAGTTCTTTGGCCTTATTTTTGATAGTCATTTAACTTTCCTTCCACATATTAATTACCTTAAAGCCAAATGCCTGAAAGCACTCGATTTGTTGAAAGTAGTTTGTACAGATCACTGATCCGTTCAAAACTCCATTATGGCTCCATCGTCTATGGTGGAGCCTGCAAAAGTAATTTAAAAAAACTGGATACTATTCATCATCAGGGCCTGAGGCTTTGCCTTGGAGCCTTCAGGACGTCTCCAATTCACAGTCTGTATGTAGAAGCGGATGAACCTTCTCTTAAACAACGCCGTCTAAAATTATCTTTACAATATGTCACTAAATTATATTTACAATAAAAAATCATCTCTTGTTCCACCCCTCGGAATCAGAATCCAGTCTGCCATGTTTGCTTCCAATATTAAACTGCAAGATATAGCTCCCACTCAACTGTTTTCATCACCTCCTTGGCAAATGGTACGGCCAGAGGTAGACCTTACATTAAGAACATTAAAGAAATCAGATACTAACCAATTACTTTAACAACAAGAATACAATCAATTTAGAAACATTTATGACACATATAAATCTATATACAGATGGATCCAAGGATGGTGGCGCAGTTGCTAGT